TCCCTCACCTCCCAATCCCCTCCCACAAAGTGTGGATCTTGCATGATCTGGAGTGTGTGGTCTACCTTTCTCATTTGGTAATGAGTAGCTTCCAATTTGGAAGATCCAAGCAAGCGTAAAATTCACATAGAGCACTTTGCAGTATATAAGATAGAGTCAGTGATTGTTATTGCAGAATTTCCCAATTACACTATTTATACATGTATGTTTATATAGCACTAACTGTACATGTACGTCATGCGTACATGTACAGTGGAACGCTGCTATAACGAACACTGCTGTACTGAACATTCCTAAATACCGAACAGCCCCCTTGGCTACCAAATTTTCTGTGTACTTTTAATGAACATTACAATTTGTTTTAAAAGAAACATATTTAGAGCTGATGATAATGACTCAGAGTTGAGAAAATCGCACTAACAATGGAACAACGGCCAACATGTGGTGCGGTCTGTATAGTGGATAGCATACATCACATGTAATGTGCATGTCCACAGGCAACCACGTACACCTGCTGCTGAGTATTTGGGTGCTGTGCACTACTGGGGACTCCAGTATGAAAAACCTTGTATCGTAATCGCTACAAAGCCGGGAAATTTGAGCTCAGATACCACTAAACAGGAAATAAATATGCAGCTCAACACGAGCATTTGTTACTTGACGCGCAGAAATCTTCCATAAATCTCTGGCTAGTTTTGATCTTTGTAAAAAATGCTTTCCTGACATTTCGTCACCAACTTCGGACATTTACATTATACACACTGTAGCACCCTCATGCCGAAACATTTTGTGGGATGGGCCAGCGTACCTGTGAAGATGGGTCAAAGTTTGGAAGTGGTGCATGCATCCATGACTGAAAATTGCTACATGTACATGTATATCGAACGACCGCTGTACCCAACATTTTGTGTGGACCCCATCATGTTCATAGCAGCGTTCTACTGTATATTAGTACAATTTTATATTATGTTATTAGTATAAGAGAAATTTTAATGAAGATCCTCTCCTAGTGCACATTTGTACAAAGGCGGCAGCTCTTACGATAGAAGGGGGCCAAACATTTATGGAAAAACAGGAGGCTGTCAAAAGAGAGATGATGTCAAAACATATAATTTGAGCAGAAGTACCGGAAGTTGAGTACAGAAGATAAAAAAGTAATCTCTTTAAAGGCGGGGGGGTGCCAGCCACATCCCTTTCTGGGTTGACTTAAATTTTATTGTCAGTTGTCCAGTTAGAACTGATAGAGGGGCATTGTTTCATTTTTCATTATAATGTACGTGTACCTGTAGAGCGTAAATGACATCTGTGATTGCAGTGATGAAATAATGCAATATGGAATTGGCCACTGTAACCTTCCAGTCTGCCTTTACATGTAAGAATAATGTTTGCATATTTTGCTTAGTAAATAAAAGAAAAAATTTAATTAAAATATGAAAACAAAACAATGTAAATATTTAAAAAGGAGCTAAAAAAAAGTAGTGCTCATTTTCGTAGTATTATGTAAATGTAATTTGAAAGCATTGGCCAATGGAAGCAACCAATTAAGCATGTTGAATATTGAATTGTAATTCATTGAATTTCCTCATTTCATATGCAGGCCTAACCTCTTCTTGACCCTACAGTTTATGTACCAGTACATGTAGGCTTACATGTACATGTGCATATGCATGTACTTGCTACTGGTACATGTACGTGCGTACATTGGACATGCACTGAAATCCATTGTGCAGTGCAAAACTTGGTTTGCACGTACATGTACATGTATATGTGTTTATGCTTGTGTCTGATGGCATTGCCTATGAATTATGAATTTAATTACCGAGTTTTATGTACGGCATCACCACATGTACACTGTAGCTGTACGCTGTATATGGATACACTTACATGTATAGCAGTGAATTTGTGTGACTAACATAATTATGGTTGCCACGGAGGTGACAGTTGTTAAAGTTACCTAGAGCATGCCTAGGGCTGGTGGCAACTTCATCGCGGAGATATTTCTTTTGTGAGGAAAATTTGAACAAAACTTCCCGGACTGCTGAATGAGGAGACTTTACATTTCCTGTGTCTATCTCGGGACTCAAATGTGGTTTTACAACCCACTTACATGTACACACCAAAAACACTAACAGCAACATGGGAAAGATCTTTCATGCATATCGTGTGTGCTTCAGAATTTTAAGCATGTACATTTATGGAACTCTCAAGAAGGAAAGCTATAGGATAACTGTGAGCATACATGTAGTTACTATACAGAATTAATAGTTGAGTGAAGACATGTGCATGCTTGAAATCCAGGTTGTTCAGTCTCTCTCTTTGTTTAAAACCAAACTGAAGACCCATCATTTTAGGCAAGCATTGTATTTAATTTATATAATTTTATGTAGGTTTAAGTGTATTCTGAATTTATTATATTTTGGATTAATTTAGTATATTTTTAAATGTTTGTAATGCACTTTAGAACATTTGTATGGTTTCTGCACAATATAAATGTATTATTGTTATTATAAAGTGAGCTTTTGATTTTGGAAAAAAAAGTTTTTACATTTAAGTTTTTAGTGTCAGTTGGTTTTTGTTATGCAACAATTTCTCAAAAGCAGCCCAATTCAAGCAGTGATTTTTATAAGCTTGTTACATTCCTCCTATTATCTTGAAAGTGTAGCAGAATACCTACATGTAGAGGGTATATAGCTATCATGTTTGCAGCCTCAACTGATTTTATGTTATGGTAATGCTTTGTTATAAAAATTGTTCAGTAAGCAACCAACAAGGATGTAAAGATCTTAAAAGCCAGATGCAAAACACATTTATATGTACATGTACAGCCTATAAGAGTTGCATCAAGCATTTTAAATGCTAAATCCAGCTTTTGAATTTTTTTTATCTAGAATTGGAACTAGGCCAGAAAGTCCAGACAATCTTTTTTTTTACTCTAAATTTTTATAGTCCTAAAAATGAGGGTTGGATGATGGTCTGTATTTTTTGGGTAACAGGTACTACATGTAAGTCAGTGTCTGATTAATACTGTACACGTGCAAGTCAGTATTACATAACAGCACTGTGATTGAGTAGTAAAGCAGCTGGTTGTGCTGTCCATCTCATCTAAGAAAAAAAATTAAAACAATACAATGTACAGGATGACGTAGGGCCTGCACAAAAGTAGGCTCAGGGCAAGACACCATAAGTTTTTATATTTTATTGATTTGTCGAATAAAAAGATATAGGTTCCGCGTGATTTTCTAGGTTGGGTCAGGTAACCTTTTAACAAGCAGATCCAGTGGGAGGTACACCTGGTGCCCTTCTCCATTTGTTTGATATGAATACCCCCCATTGTCCTCTCATTCTCAACTGGTTATTAATTGACTCTAAAGTTAAAGTCAGACATTGTCATGAAAACTATGCTTGTTTGTATGTTTGGGTTCACCTGCATATGGGGCACGTCCCTTTGTTCATAGAGGGCACTCTTCGCCTTTTTTAGTAAATTATGTGAGATCTGTCTCAGCCTATTTCCTATCTCCATCCCCGCACCTTACTTGTGAGAGTAAGACATTCCATGAGTACAGTATGGCTCCATACTTAAAAACCCTGACCCGTACCTGCTGCCATAATTACATTGGGTGTATGAAGGCAGAAACAGAACCATGGCCCCTACTCCCAGCCCCTCTGAGTAGTTGCTTTATGGGAACGGCGCCCTCTGTTGACAGGGGGATGCTAGCATGTTCACACCCAGTGTACACTGTAGAAATGAACATTTGGCTGTGTGCCGGGTCATCAGTTTAATTGAACACTCAGTCTCAGTGAATGGTCCAAGTATAAGTGTACATTGCATAGAGGTTTTATACAGCTTTTTTGAAATTTATAACATTTCAAAATTGAGCAAAACTTCCTCTTTTATCATTACTATTCTAACAGCTTTTTCAATTTGACATAATTTTTCCTTTTGACATAATTTTTCCTTTGCGTTTTTTTTCACAAGTGCTTATGGACGTGTCTGCTATACAGCATGCAAATTCTGCATCCCTTGTCTTTTCACCTGGTAATTTGTTTTGAAATGAATATTATTGGTTTATGTTTTGTAGTCTGATTACCTCTAACTTTCTTTCTTGTTACTTTTGATTTCCAATTGTCTACTCTGTTGTATTATCCAAATCCTTCAAATATTTACATGTACCTTAGCCAATCCTTTCACTGTAATTTATGTATCCTAATGTCCCGCAAGCCTATATACTAACTTGTAATAGCCATGATCATTGCATATTAAAACGTGTTGTCACAAGGAAGCACCGTTTCATACATGTACATCAACCTGCACACTGTGAACATTCATGGGCATACTTGTATATGTTTTCACCTGTCTGTGGGAAACGTACACATGTACATTGTACATGTATGTATGTATACATGTACACATGTACTTAAATAACAGGAGCATGTACATGTGGTTGAGCCCTAATGGATCAATCCATTATGTCTATGCACTGTGCATAACATAGTGTATCGCATAATGTATTGCATATTATGTTGGTTAATTTTTCTGATGTATGTGCAGTGCACTTTAAATAATAAAAAAAGGAAACAGCAGGATAAAAATTTTAGATTGTTTATGTTATTGCACATTTAGGTTGGATCAAAGCCCTGATATGTTGAGTGTGCAACACTGACAGCAGAACAATTTTCAAAGTGAGGGGGCCAGTTGTAAGACTGCCATTAATAGGCTGATCCATTAAGCCCCGCCCCATTAAGCGACCTACAACAAGTGCCTCTTCCACCAAATGAAAAAGTGGGGGAGGGGGCAACTGGCCTCCCTGGCCCAACTTCCACACCCCCCCTTCCACTGCCAGTGGTGTGCAACATTATACATGTACATGTAAGTCTGCCAGGGAGGCCAGCCATACTACTGTGTGAAATCCCCCCCTTGGAATGGTACAGCCACCATCTGCACATCATGATGATTCAGGATAGCTCAGGGTTGTTGGGATCAATGGTTTCACTGACTGGTCATTAACAATTACTGCGGGATGTATTATTTCACATCTGTGTCAACTGTTCAGACCTTGTGTGGAATGGCCAGAGTCTGTTTCTTGCTGTATTTATCATCCTCGATATTTGACTGTGCTGTGTTTTGAATTTACACATGCACTCATTTACATGATATGCGTGTGAGGCCACGCTGAGGATTGCACCTTGCTGTAGGCCCCTTTTAGTAATTACAGCACCCCCTGCGTGTGCGCTGGTTGGAGACTTGCTCTTAGCCTCGATATTAGTCAAGTACCCTACACTGTAGACCACGCCTGCGTTATGGTGTGCTGCCATTTGTAACCAACGTGTTGAAGCAGGAGATGATTCCATGGTAATTTGATGGAGGGCTGCTTTGGTTAGTTACCGCCGTCATTATCATCGTTTGGCCCGGAATGCACAGGGGAGCCTGTGCGGGCCGGCAGATATTGCATGCATGAGATACACATGTACAGTCAAGATACGAACATGCTGATTTGATCTGTGTGCGCTTGCATCTATGAGTGAGTGGGTGAGTGTATTGTAACTGCAGGGGCTACCACCTTCCTTCGTCCTGCATTTGGAATGAGTCTCGTCACTGGATGATGGGGGAGTCTGCCTCTCGCTGTCTCCCTCTCTCACTCTGTCTCATGGGGAGCCTTCAAGACGTATAGGCCAAATTTGCCTAGCTGTTTGGCTGTTATATGCTGGACCGCTCACTCAAAAGGAGCGTCCTTTTGCTGATGAGATTGCTGCAGAGACAGAGACCAACTGCCGAGACATTGCTGGACAGGTCGTACACGGACATGTGCAAGCACTTCTCAGCAGTGTATAGCCTCCCTGCTGTTCGGAGTGAATAGATTTCAGATTGCCGCAAAGGTTATGGCCGACCCACATTTCAGGATTTGTGCTACATTTGAAGCAGAGCCCGACAGGAGCAAGGAATTCTACTGTGTAAGCGCCTTGTATTAAAGTCGACTTGTGACCTTGTAAGCTGTTGAACAGCTTCACGTCAGACTTTGTGACAAACACAGAAAAGACATCTCCTTGAAGGACAAGCCTCAACTGTATCCTGATGATTTTTCATCTTAAAAGGAGACAGAGCGGCTGATTGTATTCCATAGCGTCGTGTCACTGATTGATTTGTTGTGTTTTTCCTGGTCATGACTTGGACCCGCAAGGACCGGGGATCTTATTCTTCTGTCAGCCAGTTTGATCCGGACTATTTCATGTCAACTGACGAGGTAAAACCACAAACATTTCTGGTTCATATTTGCACATGTATCTTCAAAAGTGACAATGCTCTTTCTGCAAAGTCACAGATGTGACAAACGTTTATAACATTTAGTTTGTAGCTTTAACATATTTGAAATAGTTCAGATCTTTTAGTTATAACAGCACATTCAATGTAACAAGTTAGATTCAACAGACATGTACATGGACTTGTATATATGTGCGCTAATGCAAGACAACCACAGTTCAGTACATGTACATGTACATGTAGGTGCCTGGTTACATGCCTCGTTGATTTGAAGTCTAAGGCCCTTTTACACAAGTGATGGAAACACACACATCTGCGATGTTTGGCACTGAGTGTTCGTCACAAGGGTCACCTGCAGTTTCATTGCAAGCTTTCATTGCATGTGAACATCGCTTGTTTTGAAGAATTAATATTTGTATCACTAGTACTGCGATTTTCTTTGACCATCGGAAGCATACATGTAGGATACCAGTGATTTTCCCTGCAGTATACATGCACATTTTTAAAAGTTTCCAGGAACTGTTGTGTACAAGTACATGTGCATTGTACGACATTTACTTGTTGGAGCCTGCCCTACATGTAGCTCTGCATCTGTCTGTCTCCTAGATTCCGTACCTTAATTTTGTAACAACCCTGAAAATTGTCGGTTATTGAACTTGGGGGTAGACCTAGCAGCAGCATGATTTTCACTCTTGGTTAGTAATAGCCTTGTTGCCAGCACCCAGTGTGGCGCGTAATTAATACATAGGTGATCAAGTTATAGACAGAAGACATCAAGCCGGATCACTGAAAATATGGTGAAGACATTTTTTCCCCTTGTTTTTTTATTCAAGGCTCTAAAGGAATATTTTTAAAACACAACCCCAACGGTGGTGAAAAAATGGGAAATAAAGTTAAATATACTCACGTGGTACCTAAGTAATAAGTTATATATGTAAAGTGGCACTGTGACTTCTTGAATAAGTAGTAATAATGCGATAAAAATATGGACCAATTCTGCAGGTTTTTCAAAAACTTTTCACGTTTTTACTGTCGGTGGCACCACGCAGAAATGCTTGTTTTTATGACGTACCACCGTGGAAACGAAAAACGTCATGACCTCGCAGGACATGGTTTCGTGGATATGTTTTCGTACAAAGGCCTGAACGCCTGAGCTGCCAGCCTAGCCTGACACTTTTTTCGGTATAAAATAACAACATGAAAACAGTGAAAGCATCTGTCCTTCACTCTGAATTTACCAGGCCGTTTTTATCAAATAATCTTGGTCTCCTTCACTGCCTCGTTCACCAGGGTAGCCCGTTTGGGATCCCGTTGGTGCTCCGGTGGCATGATGGGCTCGAAGCAGTACGTCTCTGTGGGAAAGTGTATATTAAAGTGAAACTACATGTACTCACGTGTTGCTATACTAAGTGTAATTATGTGCATTAACGTGACTGCGCCCGCTCAGTGAATACATGGACCAGCAGCAGAACTGTTTCCATGGAGCTATGTCGACAAAATCCTGGAAAAGCTGTATTCATGAGATGTAAATAAAGCGATGATGATATGCTTCTTTCATGAAAGCTAGCCATGGCGCTCGGCGGAAACGGGTCTCAGTACATGTGCATGTACTGGAAACAAATACATGCGTAATGTAGTTTTCTGTTTTTGCATTCCTTTACAATACACAATGTTGCCAAGCAATCTTCCATTTGTCATTTTTTCATATCAGGAGATTCTTAAATTGGAAGCCACGATTCGCAAATTTATGATATTTGATTACGTACAGTATGGTCAAAGCTTCATGTACCTTACAATGCTTGACTAATGGAGGGCACATACCAGTAACTATTATGTGATGTTTACCTACTGTATGTGTGGCAGAAAAGCCCCATATTGATCATAACTGGTAAGTTTATGAAATTTCAAGTTGAACCGGGCGCACAGGCTTGCGGATAGGAGGTGATCAGTTCTGATATTGAAGAATGACCCCCCCCCAGCTGCCCTGCCCGTACGACAAGTTCTGTGCATACAAAAATACAAAACACTGAAACTCCTTGGCCTTTGCCTGACATTTAATGCAAGACACATGTTCCGGTTCAGTGGCACTGTTTCCAAGGTGATGGGCATTGCCATGGATACCCAGTTCCTTTGATGTATTTTTCTTCCCCTGGTATGTGTTGAAGAGGAGGGAATTCGCAACCTCGAGCGGGCACACTGACATTTGAGCAATGACAAGACCAGGCACAGTTGTTGATAGATTATTGAATGAGGACTTTAATTGCTTGTGGCAGTGTGGGGGATGTGCCATATTCGTTTGATAAAAAGTTCATTCACGGTTTGCACTCAAATCTTGTCTGATCTGTATATCTTTTATGTTTTGATGAGTTTTTCTTGTTTGTGGGTTTTCTGTTTAGTCTCGCAAATCTGAATTTTACAGCTCACACACACGTGTGGAAATGTTCACCTACTTATGTACACACAGTGGAATATACCCAGCAGAGGGTAATTTTGTCATACTTTGTTTGAGGAAGGAGCAAATGTTGTGTCTCTCATTATGCAAAATTTATCTCTGTATTAAAGTAAAGCACCCTTCCTATAAAAAAGGGTCATGTGATTCAAAACTTCAAGTCTTTTAAGAAGTACAAGAGATTCTGCCAGAAACCAAAGGATGAAAAATCTTCCACATTCTGTAGACTGTAACAGTAGAGTTGCTGTATTGATTGCTTTTATTATCACTGGTGTTTAAATATTAAAAGGAAAGTAAATTTTTTCGGAAAAATTCCGGCATCTTATTGCGCTGGTATCGTAATGAAAAAGGAAGCAACTGATTTATTGAAAGTTTTGTAAACTTACGGATATGGCTGCAGACCTACTCTTTTTTGCACAATGTACAGTACGCTGCACTGTGAGTTTGAATTCACACCAGATATGAAATTAAATTGATTTGTATGTCCATAATGCATCGTTTGATTTTCAAGGACATTGACAAGCTACCAGATGTTTTTCACAAAAACGTGTGATATTGACACAGTACCATTTACTCAGAGATGTGTCCAGTTGTAACATGAATATTTACATGTGTACATGTATGTACTGGTACATGTATGTACATGTGTGTATAGACTTGTTATTGCTGTTGCTTTCTTGTTCACAAAGACCCTCCCAAATTTCAAAGTGCAAAAATTTATTCTTTATCAAAAAGTGAGAATATTCAAATCAGAATCTGCTGTGTAGCATGACTTTAATGGAAATGTGACATGTTTTAAAAGGGGTTACAGCTTGTTAAATAGGATTAAGCTGTGTTCCCATTGGACTTTTTTGGTTAACTTACCACGACTTTCCTGTATTACAAAATTAAATCCAGTGGGAACACACGGTAAACTAACGTCCCTGTCTACTTACCTCAATCGTGATGTAAAACCAACCAGCTGAAAAGCGGCACAGAAGATTTCTGCGCAGCCATGCTAAGTTAGCAGGGGTGCAAAAAAGTCCTATGGGAACAGTTTCCACACAATAAAGATTGACTGCGACCATGCTAAACTAACGAACCAGACTACTGCCCACACAGAGATCAATAGTGGGCATGCGAAAATGGTTGTATGGTTCCCAGTCTCCAGCTCTATGCGTACAGTATAGCAGCTTGCTGTGCACACACAGTGAAGCGTGCATGAATATAGCTTTACACACATTATGTACAGGGCTTTTCCTGTACGGGTTCATCTTATTTGTGGTAGATTTGGTCAAAATCATCTGACTAAGTCATATTTTTGTCAGATTTTGCTGATTTCGTCATGATTTTTACAGCACATAGGAAATGTTATCAGCTGGCCTTCTTGAGCCTAACACAGTGAATAAACATTCTGTTATGGTGAAAAAAGTCTACGTGGGAATGCGCAGTAGATTTACATAAAGAAATGTCATGGTAAGTTTCTGCATGCTGGTGGAAGAAAAAGTTCAATGGAAACATGCCTTTATACAAATTGCACTTTATGAAAACTTTTTTTCTTTTTGGCAGATCCATTTACTACATGTACATGTATGTACTTAAAATCCACGTGCATGTACAGAGTATATGAATGATATACATTTATGGCTTTTTTTCAGAACCCTACCATCGCTATCATGCACCTTCTGCAGTGTACAACGTTATAAGTATATCGTGCACACGCTTCAATATATTTGTATAACTGATATGCTTTTCTCTCTGAAATATGGAGTTGATTCCCTGACTGCAGTTGGGATGGCATTTGCATCCTTACAGTGTACATACTGTACATGTACCTGTATGTGTGAAAACAGTTTGAGGGTGCATTCATAAGTCTATACGAATGACTTACATGTATTTCCCCTCGAAAAATATCAGTGAACAGTAGCAAATTGGTTAAGTAAACATTCAGATATGTCAGCTGCCGAACTCGATGATATTTTATGCTGTTTTGTATTTGGATGAACTAAAAGTGATTTCATAATGTAGAGGCAACTTGAATTTGGAAGAACAAAAGCGTTTACCCAAACCAAACAGTTATGCACTACATGTAAGTAAATCACCTTTCGGTTCTACAGTGTACTCTACACAAGTATTATTTACTGTTTGTATACAAGTTCACTGTATACATGGTACATGTCAGTGCATGTACATGTACAAGTTACCGTTAGTCCCCTTAGTAGCAATAATTGAAATAATTCATATGCATGAATATTCAAGCATTTTGAAACAGTACATGTACGTGTACATGTGTATGTACATGTTTTTACACATGACATACCCCTTCTCCCCCCCCCAAAAAAAAATTCATGTCAGATGTCTGTGCATGCAAAGCAAATTAACAGTGCTTTGTCAGCAGTAGTAAATGGTTTGTACTTTGTTGCAAAATTGAAATGCCCTAAAATTTAAATGGCAGTCATTTTCAGAGACAATTTCCAGGCATGAAAAAGGCCTGGAACGTCAACAGCACAACCCTCACCTTAAGCCAAGCATCCGTTCAATTTCTCTGCAGACACTGCATTTTCCTGGGCACTTGACAGTCTTCTGCTTACGTCAGTAATACGTGTGCACGGAGTCAATTTACAGAGGGATAACGAGAGACTAGACAGAGTGGCCGTTGCGTACTGGCAGACTGGCCAGTTTTATTAGCGATGGGCATGGTGGAACCGGTTAAAAAATCAGTCATTAGGAAAACAGAGACTCTGGTATTTATTATTTGGTGTCATTTGTTAAGTTTGAATGTTGATATTTAAAATCTATATTGATGCGAGAATACCTCTGTATGGCACTCCAAGGTTTTACACGCAACAATGCATGTATGTACATGTACATGCCAATGCACCACACTTACATGTACGTATTCATAATCAGATATTGTGCTCAATTTACATGTACAGTATGCATGCACATTGTTCTTTGAGAACAAATTCACAGTTACCCGAGTTCAGATGTGTTCAGTAATGGTACATTGTGGGATTCCCATCTGTTAGTTCTTTTTGTACCAGTAGTTATCCACATTATGGCCCTGAAAATAAATTTTATGCTTGTCATCCTGACGAGGGAAAAAATGGATGTACGTGTAGGCTGGCAACATTTTTTTGTCAGGAACATACATGTACATATAGGGTCCATACATGAATAAGTGCATACACATACATGTACATGTACATTGTACATGTATGTGATAATATACATGTAGTATTCACAGTTGGCAAGATAGAGCTACAATGAACGTTTATGCAAATCCAGTTCTTTTGTATTTTTTTCTTCCCATTTGTCCTTGAAATTGTATATCCAGCATATTTGCTGGCCCAGCTGGCCAGGTTTTGTTTCACCTTTTTTTGGGGGGGGGGAGGGAAATGAAAGAAATCAATATGGTATAATCAGATGACCAGCAAAACTGACAGGGGTAGGAACAGTAAACTAATACTTTATTAAATGGAGTCTAGTCACGTGCAAATGAATGGCATGCTTCATTCGGCATGAATCTTTTCTGATCCCACACATTACGTTAAACTTCCATATGGAGTATGAGAATACAGCATCCAGGGTAATGACGTGAGTGGACATACATGTATGTTTGGGAAATCTCTTGCATTATGCCGTTATTCTGTTAAGCACACACACATGAGAAATTGAGTGGTGAGCAATCAAATGACAGATGACCAATACATATATTTCTTCTATTTCCGGTTAATGTATATATTAGCCATTGGATTTACATGTCCTTAGTGTTGTACCATCACAGTTTCTGCTGTTAATGCATTGAGGATGCCTTTTAAGGCATCATCTCAAAAATGTACCAGTACGTATGTATACATGTAAATACTCCTTCAAACATCAACAATTTACATGTGGAAAGTCTAATCATCAGTTTCCGTGAAATACTCTGATGAAGGAAACAGACTCACGGTGCTTTACAGTAGCCCCTTTTTCCTCTGCCAGTGTTTGAGGTACATATAGCTCAGTTTCATAGGAGTAGTTCTGCAGCGTCATTTACCAACATCTTCCCTAATCTTTCCAAATTTTCCAGGGGTTTGGATGATATTGAAAGATTTTGTAAAACAGAACTCAGTCACTGTTCATAACATGCAGCGTGATGCTCTGTGAAAATTGTGCAATTGGACTCCTGTGCATTGATCGATTTTTCTCCCGGAGGATACCGGATGCAAAAGTGGTTCCCGGGAAAACATGCCTGAGGAGTTAATGTTTTTCTGAGGAGTTAACACAGGTTCAGTGTTGTAGCAGTGCATTTATGAGGGTTTGTTTTGGTCTTGGTGTGGTCTTTTCAGGGCTCTGAGGACTCCAACTATGGCCGGCCGTCAGACTCGGATCTCTCACTGGATGAGGAGAGAGAGGCTATACGCCGGGAGACAGAAAGGCAAGCCCTGGCACAACTGGAGAAAGCAAGGGTAAGACATTCATTTTTAATAGATGGGTGTTTAGGACAAGAGAGCAGGGTTCGGGGTTTGGGGGGGAAGAAATGAGGTCAATGGACAGGTAAATGTACAACTACTACTAGAAAGAAGACTTCAGTACATGGTCCAGGATGTAAGATCAAATTGCTCTCAGGCCGTGAGGATTCAGTGAGATAAATCAAAGCTCACAGTACGATGTGCTGTAGAGGGAAAGAAATTGGCTGCTAAAGCACGGTTAAAGGTGCTACATGTATGTTCATTTTTATGTTTCGTTTAATTAACCCTAACCCGCAAGGGGTATTTGCCAAGGACCCTGCTACATGTAAATGCACCAGAATGCTCCAAACCTCGCATGGGTACCCTGCTAATTGCACCAGTATGCACTGGTGCATTCTGGTGCACTAGATGCTAGGACGTAAACACCAAGCCTGCTAAATGCACCAGAATGCATACCACCAGAAGACTTGTGTTGCCTGCTTAATGCACCAACTTGCAACAACTTTTTACCTCTGGTGCATCCTGGTGCATCTAGGAGGGTTAGGGTTAACAGAGTGTTTAGAGAATTTACCGACTTGAAAGTTGTGAAATTTATCATTGTCAGAAGTTAGCAGGTACTGATAGATTGATCCTGAGGGACTTCCTGGATGTAACTATAAGGGCATTTTTCAGCGGCCTCTGAGATCACATTCAGATACGTCCAGATAAGCTGTGTTCCCTAAGGGTGTGGCATTTCTCCAATCTCTAAGCCCACCTCATGAAATGTGTCCTGCTATTATTTAGCGCAGTTAGGCGTTATCAATCCAACTCTCCCCTCCATTCCTGCCAACTGTTGCCTTAACCTTGGCGTCAACGGATGCAGCCCACTCCGGTCAGACAGATTGTCAGAAACCCCTAATGAAACCGAAGCTGACAGGAGCCAACATGTACCAAATTAAAGATGGTGGACATGCAATTTGGCCGCTAATCTAATCGGCTTCCGGCTTAAGGCCTGGGACACTCGCATCGCCGCCTGTCGAAGTGCTGGTGCTTGTAATTTGTTGGACGCTTTCCATGTTCTTCATCTGCTTGAGCACATGCATTTTAAGCACTCGCCTGTCCGCAGTGTAAAAATTCATTTTGTCTGCAGAAGTTGCTTATCTCACATTCAAAGCATTGTGATAATAAGTGTCGGCTGTTGATTACATTCACCCTGTTACCTTTTTTTTTTGGTCTGCATACCTGTATGTTTAATCAGGTGGGGACGGTTTCTTCAGTAACAACATAGTTTAGGTCATAACTCTGGCAATTTCATCAGCATTGGGAATCTCAGAGCATTTGTAACAGCCTGTTGCCTTTATTGCAAAGGTTCAATGAAGAAATTGACTTTCCAGTATACTTGTTTTAGGAATGAGTTCACAAATAGTATCCCCAAGGCAGTTGGATTTCTGGCAAACGTTGTAACAAGTTTTGTGTCTTTATTTTCATTTTACTCTTTCATGTTTTGATCTGAGTTTTCAAGGCAAGTATTTTGTACAAGGAGTAATGTGGTTCAAAATGTCAGAATAGCATGTTTACTGTGTCATCTGGATTCTTGAAAATAAAAATAACTGTCTTGTTGCAGTATGAAGACTCACGCTTTTAAAGCCAAAGTCCTCTTTTGTTTCCAGTGGTTAGTTTACATTGTTAATTGGGGAAGAAAAATTAACAAAAAATAATTGCACTTGTTTGGATTTCAAAAATTTGTCGGGAAGCGAATATTTTCCTCTCTGCTACCAGTTGTAAGTGCATTTAAGCTCATGCTTCTGATCAGCTGTGGTCGTCTTGTGTGCAGTGATGTTCCTCATCTCACTTCATACTCATCAAGCAGATTCCACTTTCAATAGATCAATACGTGTAGGTCAGTAGGCTGTTGGCAGCACCATTAACTGGGAAACAGCAGCGTGAAATGATTTGAAATTCACTGTCAGTTCACTCCGGTAAAATCCACTGCCATTCGGCAAGCTGCATGCATGTACAATGCACTTGTGTACATGTACAATGCGTGTATACTGGTACCCACTCACATGCACTGTACAGTTCTGAATTAATTCTGCACAAGATCAGCCAGAATGCTACTGGGTAGGCATAACTTTTTGCCATTAAATTTCATTAGATTTCACCCACCTATTGAGATACATGTACTCATTGAGGGAATATTCATTGAAATTAAAGAGACGGCCTACATGTATATACATGTACATGTACATGGGTGTTAAACCATCTTAGGATGATTCATAATCTTATTAAATTTCTAGCGGTTCTGTAATGTTTGACTTTAATGTCTTCAGTGTTTGCACAAAATGCATTATACGATTTAGGGTGTGAAAATTATCTAACATTTACTCCTACAGTGTACATGTGTGCATACACTGAACATGTACAGTGTATGCCACGGCACTTGCTACATGTACATTATGTACCGGTATGTACTTATTACGTGTGTACATGTATTTACTACATGTACCTTGTACTTGTACCGTGATCATACTGGTACATGTACATGTACGTCCTGGTACATGTACGTGTTGGCATGTTCACCCTTACATCGTGCTCTATACATGTAGATGTACGTTGCAGAGTGTGTTGTGGAAAAGAATTATCCATTATATACATGTAGCATGCATTACCTGTACTGTACAAGACAATGGCAGTGGAACGGTTTTCAAAGCGGGCGTGCCAGTTGTGAGATCATCAGGCCTGATCAGCCACTGATAGACCAACCTGTTTAAGCCCCACCCCTTATACATGTAGGAGCTGCAGAAAGTGAAAGGGTTCGATCCCCCTAGTCGACAAAGTGGGTGGGGGGCATTGGCCACCGGGCTTCCTCCCCCCTCTGCTGCCAGTAGTACGTAATGCGCTGGTACATGTACATGTATACGCACCTACAATGTATGTGCACTAGGCCAGTGCGACTAGTCGCCAATACCAAAAGGTATTGGTCACGACTATCAATTTCCAGATAGTCGACTAGTTGTTATGCGACGATTAGTCGGACTGTGTCACAATTAGAGGCTGGAACTCGTACGCAGCGCATAGCATTGGGCGACTGTACGTGTACGTGCCCGTGACTGCGCAGTGCAATGGAGTACCTGCCAGATCCCCCAGAGCGTGTATTGCCGCGCCACGTGTGTTCAGAGCAGCCACACGCTGCTCACGTAAAATTTGTACACCTACATGTAGCTTGATAGTCGTGAGTGACCACCAGTACCTTGTCTCCTTTCTCGATGGTGTTGTTGACTAGTCGCAGTAGTTGTGCAGCTGCGACTACTCGAGTCATGTTGGCCTGGTGCCAGTGCATCACAGCCGCGACTAGTCGAGTCCGATCCGAACATGATTGCGCAGAGCAAGGTGCAAACATGATTCCCTCTTGTTCGAAGATATTATTTTTCATGATTAGGGCCATGCATTTGTGCCTTAAGCTTTGGGATTGTTGCATTTTTATGTGTGTCTGTGAAATAAAGGATTTGCGATGAATGTGCACACTGTGAGAGAGCCTTCTATATTTGTCACAAATGTTATTTTACAAACCACTGTTTAATTTTTGTGATGTGTGATTCCAAACTGTACCCTGCAATTCCTCTGCCATCGAAAGGCTGATTTGTAAACTGTGCTGTGCTCAGTTGAATTCACTGACCAAAATAGGCATCATTTATTGTTTCTGTATTTAATTTTTATATCTAAACATTTGTGAAATAAAAATGTTTTGTATGCATATAGTAATAATTACTTTCTGCGCAAAGTGATTTAATATATTTTATTCCTTATAAGCTTTCCTGATGTTTAAATAAAAATAGTATAAAAATAAGGTTTCATCTCTCCCCTTGAGGAAAATGGAAGTGTCCAAGTCATGTAAATGTGACTGACCATCCATGATCGGCATTCAGGTGAACTATTCACATGCGCTGCTTAAGCATTGCACGTAAAACACCACGAAAGTGACAGTACTGTTGCATTGGGGTCAGATAAATCCGTGTTCTGCATGAAACTTGTCCGCTGAAACATGTAGGAATAATTCCTTTTATATGAAATTTCTAGCAGTTTATTTTTGGCCCGCTACTAAGAACACAGAAGTAGTTTGGAATTTTGGAAGTAAGCTGCCAAAAATAATGACTCTCACAAGTGACAAAAACTTATGTTGATTATTTGTAAAACTATACCTGAAGCTGTTGATTCTTAAAATTGTTCAAAAAACTGAAGTGGCGATGGCTTGTATCGCTCAGAATAAGCATGGCAGCACTGTGCATGAGTCGGGTCTGCGTAGGGAACGAACCACAAAACCAAGTGCATACATTTATTTCTCGAAAATTCACTTTGCTGCACGAGTGTATTGTCTCTTGTGAGAGCAGTGCAAACTTGAAATAAAGACATTAAAACATTGAATACATACACAGAAAATAATATAAAATTATGTTCGTGGATCAAATCTGCTGCTCATTCCCTTCTCCATCAATGTTTATTTGACATGTTTACAAACATCAGACTCGACAACTGAAGAGACCCCGTAGCCTGATTCAGCGTGTGCGCGCACGCAGCCCAGCCATAAACTGGTCCCTGTCCTTCGCTGTTGCAATCGTAGCACTGTGTCGTGGGTCAGGCACCAGTCAGACGTTAGCACCGTGTGCTTTTCACCTCTGCAAAGTTGTTGATCGCACTGTGGAACGATTAAGGCTTCCTTCCAAAAAGTGGTAGTAAGTACATGTAAGCAGAGAAACAAAGAAGGAATATCACAAACATTTCTGACGAAAGTTTTTATCTTAAAAAAGCCTCATTTTTCATTCACGATTGTGTTAAAGTCCAACCATCCAATAGGAAAAAGTGGAACACACAGTGTGACATCATGCAAAATTAACCCTGTATTATGTCATGAAAACAGGACATGATTTTCTACTGGACAAATAAACAATGCAAATAGTCGCGACTAGTCGACTAGTCATGACTATTTATTGATTATATTTATTATTTATTTCAGTAGTCACCACAACTACTTAAATTCACTAGTCGCCAACACCTAATGTGCACCCCTAGCCATAGTATCATACATCCGTAACAGTCCCAAATCCTCTGATTTCAATATGATTTTACATACACTTAGGGGGTTAGGGTTTTAAATTAATCAAGCTACGCGCACATTGCATATGTCATGCTAATGCTGAATTTGCGTCATTCTGCTGCACTGCTGAGCTTCAGTAAATCATGGGCTTGTGTTTGTTAAGCATATGCATACACAGGTTTTTGTTTTCCAGAGCTCGATCCCGTCACACAGCCCACTCACCAGTGTACACAAACGTAGGTTGCTGCACAGGTACTGAAGTACATGTATGACTAAGGGTTGCTTTTCACATGAGTTCATCATTGAAGTAGGAAATGAAAGTATAATTTACAAAAGCATTTGGTTACATGTGCATCAATTTTTCAACATTTTATGGTTGAAAACATCTGTAGTCCCCCAAGAGATCATATTTTCGTTGAATGTTTTGCACATATATGTATGTCCAAATAAATACCAATAATTCATCGAAATTGTTAGGGGACAGTATAGAAGTGATTGTTTGATTCTGTGCATGTGCGTCATGACACCTCTTTGTGGCTTTGTGTAATTAGAAAACTTTAAAACGGCAAATCGCTCGAGTCACAGTGGAGAGATACTTCATTCGTGACTGGTTAATTTTCATCTGACAAAGAGAATCTTCAAATCCAAGCCTTCTACATGTACCCTTGTTTTGTATTTCATTTATTTTTGTAAAGGTTGTTTCACGCACTGCAAGAAAGTGTTCTGAATCACATGTACACTGTACATGTAAAGTACATGTACTTGAAGAATATACCACAGATTGTGTCTGCAACACTTTTGCACTAGTACCAAATGTAAAGTGGTACATTTACTTGTACGTGTTCAGTCGAACCTCGTTAATAAGAGGTCCGTTGGACTTGGCAAATTATCTTGTTATAATAGGAACCTTGTCTTATCAGGAATGAAAATAATATAAAAAAACAAAGAACTGGGACCCCAAAATAAATTTCCTTGTTATAAGCAGCATCACTAATTAACAATGCTCTTATTAATGAGGTTTGACTGTACCCTTGATGGCCGTGTATACGGTGATCAGCAGACCTACATGTACATAAATGCACCTGTACCGGTATACATGTACATGTACATAACAGTACGGGCAGTGTATATGTGATACATGTACTGGGACGGCACATGTACATCAGGGTTGTGTGGGATTGAGGGGTTCACACATTTATCCAAATTGGTGTCCGCAGGTGGGATTTTCCAAAGCTTTGGTCAAGCGGAAATTCAAATAATGGCACTCACCCTTGAAAAATGACGAATAAGCTGCCTCTGTGGCCTGCATGCACCTAACACAAATTTCGCACTTGTGATTATTTGACGACATGTAACATGTAGGCTGGCTACCTGCAGTTTCATACATGTAAACATCTTGCCCAATACAGTATTATTGAAGTTTTATTTTTTTTATGTTTTTGACTTTATTATAGACACATTGTTTGTGTCTGCTTCTCAAGTCTTCCAAGAAATTTCTTGAAAAATTTCACTACAGGTGTAACATACAATGTACATGTACATGTCCAGAGTTACAGTAGTTGATGGAATGACATAGAAATGGTATGATACCTTACCCTGCACATGTGCATGTACACGTACCAGGGATACAGTACATGCTCCCTTCCCCCCCTCCCCCAGCACAAACAATGTAGAGTAACAGACAGGCCAGGCTGACTGAGCGGTTCCAGGCTCTATAGTGATTAGCAGTGGCATGAAAAGAGGAGTCTGGGAACAATCAGTGATACATACATCATGTATGCACCCACCTGCCCCAGAACCCGTACGTGTATTACATCACACTGCAACTGATTTCACAAAATGTGGCGTAACGTTGAACCATGCATAAGCCTTAACTGCATCACAAATGTAGCTATGCAATATTCATGTACTTGCATGTACATCCAATTGAACGAAAACTTGGGTAGCTGTGCCACGTTTTAATAATATTAAATTTCTTGGACGAGGACAAATGGCTTTTATGACGGCTGTTCCTTTCCAATATAACAACAGTTATCAAATAGTCATTGAATCACATCCGCCTGCCATTTGGAAAAGTTTTCGTCTTTTCTTCACCAGAACTGGACAGATGAACTTGCAGGTTCCCCACAGTCAAACAAGTTTTTCATTACCTTCTCCAACAAAGTTGTACGTTTCTCTTATGAGCCTGCTGAGTTCAGCAATGACGATTCTTAACTGAACACGAGTTTTAACTGAACACGACGAGCTGGCCTTTTTTGCTTTGTTTGACACAACTTATAGCACCTACATGCGTAAACTGACTGCGTAAGTTACGCCATAATTTGTTGCATAAGTCGCAGTCTTATGCATTGCGTAAGTTTCATGAAATCACTCTTAATTTGTTGTGCAACTTACACAATAAAATGTGGCTTAAGTGGAGTTTGCGTAAAGTTTCGCGACATCGGCTGCAGGTATACGTACACATGCACATGTACAGTGTGCATATGAAAACATACAGGTACATACATGAAAATGAGAGATACCACTAATGTGTGTCAACCATACATGTACATGTACATGTATGTGCACGTCAGTCATCAGTGTCTGTTCAAAGAAGTCATCACCACTGGTACATATAAAATGCATGTACAACAAAGAACACTCTTTTTTTTGGAAGAAATTATAAACTAAGACTTGCTGACGAGGGGTATTGTCATTTTTTTTATGGTACATGTGCTTGTGGTTGCACAACTATCTTTCTAGGTTTTTTACAGTTGTACATTTTCCCCCAATTTTCGTAGCAACAGACTTGTCCATTCCATTATCTAAAAAGCTTGAATTCTGTTGGAAGCTCACATGTACAAATCACACAAACTCTGCATACACATGCAAATGTTTGTTGTCTTAAGTGTTGATGTGCAGATGCTTGACACAATGTAACAAAATTTGTCCCTTATAACCCTCCATACACAGACATTGTTGATACTGGCACATGTTTTGCCTGCATCAGTGCATGTATCTCACCTTCGCCAACTACATGTACCCTCAAACTCCTGTCTCCCCGACATGCTTGATTGGAAGCAACACATTGGAACTCGGCCGTTGTCTGCCTTGTATGCGCATTTGTTTACAACGGGCCTCTACTCCCCGGGCCATTCAATTATGCAGATGAGGCTACGGACGTCAAACGGCGCTGGCGTTGCCAGTCTACCCAGCCATTTCCATCACTTCCTGGTGTCTGTCTGGCGCATAACGGCATTAGGACCCATCATTCACACTGGTCCCTCTAGTGGGCCATCCAGGGGCATTCCGCAGCAACATCACAACCACCAGCTGTATCATCCATGGCCAATTATTAGCAGTTCTGGAAGACGTTACGTGAGCAACGCTGTTTGGATTTTGCACCAGGGAAAAAAAATTGCAGGAAATCATTTCATAAGGCTAACAAGATTTGGTTGGAGTTGCTCCAACCTCTTCTTGTGACTGTTATTGTGTGGGGTGTGGAGTGCACCCTGTTTGACCAGTCAAAATTGGATTACAGAGGAAGCTTTCAATATGGCTCGGTGGAGTGGCAGTTTACCATGGGTGGAGCTTATTAAAGGGGTGTTATAGGTGCATGCATGTAGGTATGATAGCCCATAGAATTTGCCGTGTTTGCTGGGGCATCTTGAGAGGTCACGTGTGGGCTGCAATAAGTACATGGGAGTATTTGGATTGTGTATCAGCCAAGATCCATCACAGGAAAATATTCAAACTTGTACTGGTACCTTGATAGAAGGCTGGCTGTGTTCTCATCCTCCAAACTGGAGATAGCTACAGTGGGCTGAGACGGAGACTTCCATTCAATCATTCATCCATTCAGTGTTCATCACAGTTTTGAAACTTCTACATGTAATTTTATACACCTTTTCTGACCTTCACATGGTGTACACACTGTTAACACAATATAAATAATCCACAGATACATGTACTTGTGTATGTATGTCAGAAGGAGATTAAAAATGTGAAGGAGTTGACATTCTGTTAAGTTTTTTTACAGTTTCATTTCCTGTGAAAAATGAATTGAAGAGTATTTAGATAGGTACTTATAATTCTGAAATTTAACCTAAATTGCTTAAATTTCCCTTGATTTATTAGGAATTTTTTATCATCAATTTCTTATCAATTTTTTTAGCCTTTGTTTTCACTGTCAGAACAATTAAAACCTTGCCCAACAAAAAGAACAGATGCATGAAAGATTGAAATGACATTATACCAAACAAGTGGTGCAAATGGTGTCCTATGCCTAATTGGTTTTTCTCTTTTCAGTTAACCTAGGTGCAATTTTCACTCTGTTTTCAGACAAAGCCAGTGGCGTTTGCAGTCCGAACGAATGTAGCCTATGACGGGTCAATTGACGACGATTCACCAGTCCAGGGCTATGCCATCACCTTCAAAGTTAAAGATTTCCTCCATATAAAAGAGGTGCGTTTGAATTTGTTGCTTGTTAAGGACGGTTCATACTGCACGTGAAAACGAAATGAACACAAATTTGTGACGTCTAATCAAATATTTGTGTTGCAAATTCATAAAAGTTGAACACATTTCAACTGGAGCGACCTTTGTTGTGAATTTGTTGTGATGTCAAATTTGCTCTTGCATTCGCAATCACCTGAAGTGTGAACCAGCCTTCAGGTGGTATTTTAAAATTCTTAATTGGGCTTTATAAAAGAATAATAATTGAAATTGCTGTTTGGGAGGACTGTATAAATTTTGTTTGTACCATTACATTCAAATGAGCATTCTTTTAATTTTTGCATATTCTTTTGAAAATTAGTCGATTTAGGTGGTCATCTTGAAGCATTTGTTGGATATCCCTGGCTCTAGTGAAAAGACTATACAGTATCAACTGCCATTCAAGTTTTGGTGAAAAAACTGTAAAATTAAATTTAAAAACCAAAGTGCTATCAACAACTTGATTTGCTTCTTTTCTGCCAGAAATACAATAATGACTGGTGGATTGGTAAGCTGGTGCGGGAGGCCGCTGATGTTGGTTTCATCCCCAGCCCGGCCAAGCTGGAAAACATGAGGCTTCAGTCATCAACAAGCAGGACGAAGCTCATGAACAAGTGAGTTGTTGCCGACAATCAGCTTTTCAAAGTGCTCGGCTTTTCTGGAACTTTCTGCAACTAAGTCATTTCACCTTTGCTGTCTTCGTGTACCTAGTTGTTGTTTTTACACCACTGATGAAGTTTTTTTTGTGTTTGCTCAGTGTTTTAAATTTTCTTCTATTTGAAATGGATTTTACTTTTTTTTTACTGATTTTGTTCCTTTTGAGTTACAAAATTCAGCTTTTGCAAGTTCTTTTTCAAGGTCCTTAAGGCATAGTGTGTCCCATAATGGCAAAAATTAACATGAAATATTGTCAAACACGTAATCTGTAACTGGATGAGTTTTGATATAAATGTGCTTGAGTGAGCAAAAAATTTAACATTCTGATGAGATTAATGATAGTGATGGCATCCCAAAGAAGCTAGTGAAGCAAGCCTATAACTTCCAAAACCTTGCCTTTCCCCCTTCAATCCAGTTTGCTATGTACATGTACCTGTTTTCATAAATAGTCAGAACCCCAGTGGGACTGGCACTCCACAGCAGTACAAACAATGCACACATGGAAAATGACTGAAATGGCCACTGTGTCTCAGTTGGGTCTCTGTTAATAATACATGCCTAATGGCAGAAACAATTAGCTTGAAAGATCTGCTTAGCAGACAAGCTATAAACAAGAGAGATAAAAGGGGGGGGGTTTACGGTCATCTGGTTTGCGTCAACCTCCTTCTCCTTTTCCTGTGCATTATTCCCCAACCCTTTCCTCTATGTGCATCTTTCTTCCCTGAGGACTGCCTTGTGATGAATCAATTTGACATTACCACATGGCTAATATGACAATGACAAGGGAAGGATTTGGTAAACATATTTGGTGCTTAAAAGGGTTTTCTGTTAAAAATGTTAGACTCATTTAAGCTCAGAAGGAAAAATTTTAACAATTAATAATAAAAGCACTTATTCCCTACCGCGTTTTAAATGTCAACAGTACCAGTAGCTTTGAGTGGAAGCTAACCTAAAACAAAAGTCAAATGTAAAATTCCATTTTGATTAGAGTAATGGATCATGGGACAGATATTGCCTGCACTTTTGCTGACGCGGTAGGCCACAGTCTCTTTGGGATTGAATCATATTAACACGGTTATGTAAACCAACTAGTACCTGTACCTTTACCTATTTTCAATCCGGGTATTATGCACAAAAAATGATATGATCATTTGATGAAGCAAACAGACCCATTTCATGAGTGCTGAACGAACTGAATGCATACTTGATCGACCACTGGGATCGAGGAGTCATCAGGCTTGGTCTGCGAATAGACACAGAAGCTAAACCAACCATGAATGCATGTACATGTACATGTACGGAACATATACCGTAACATACAGTGCTTCAAAGCATAGATGCTTGTTAAGTGGGCTTCATGCTTGGACTTGAGAGGGAGCTTTGTTGCTTGAAGTTGATATGCCTTCAGGCCAATACCTACATGTAGCCAATTTAACTGGTTGGTGAATGTTGCTCATCATTCACTACGTGTCCAGATATCATTAGAGGCAGCTAGCCAGACTGCTCTTGGACCCGTTGCTTTATGCAGATGGGAACCAGGCTGTTGACTTACAGTAGCTCTTCTGCCATGTCTGCTACTCAGTGTGGAAGGCCATTTTTTTGTCCATGGAACCCACACTTTCCCAAGTCACAGTGAAACTTGCAATAGTTTTGCAGTTTCACAAGTGACTAAAATTGGCCTGACATCAAAAATTTGTGGAGTTCAGTTTAGCCGGACTCAAAATTTCAAAATTTACACCCCAGTTTCTCTCTCTACCTGAGCTGTTTACAAAAAAACAGCAAAATGTGACAAAACATAATGCATCCATAAAAAACATGGTAATTCAAGTCCATTGCATTCACAAAAAGATTTCTAACAAAAGTCTTCATCCCAGTCTCACATTTTTCATGTAGATGTATTCCCAGTGCAATAAACGCAGTGTAGTATCTCTCCAGCCTCTGCCTTGCTCATAAAACAAGAAACTGATAGTGTCTGATGTGTGAAGTAAGACTGGGGTTGAAGGACATCAAGGAAGATCCATAGCAGTAGGTAGGGGGAGCCTAGTAGGGGAAGGATGTTGGCAGTTCATTGAAAAGTACAGGGAGCAGTATTGTGGCACTGAATTTGGATTTGTTTATGGGGGGGTTATTCTTTGGGGGGGACCTTTAGGGGGACACTGTTTCCACAATTCACAAAGTATGCAGTAGGTTCGTATGTCTTCACATGATTACAATTTGCTGAACCCTGAATGGGATTCAGCATCTTTGTGTGCATACATGTATTTGTACAATGTACATGTACATACATGTACATTAACAATTTCACGTGTACGTGCAAAAACCACTTGGTACATGTAGGGGATGGAAAACGGTAAAAAGAATTCTTGTCATTTTCCATGCCAGTAATTTGGGAAAGGATGAGTACATGTACATGTACATTGAGCACGCACTGTGCTCTGTATGAAATTTCTGTACAGAGGTGCCATTTGGGAACATTGGCACCATAATGTGGGACACACTCTGTGAAAATAAGTCTTAAGTCACCAGAGCCACTTTTTGAGTTTTCCTTTGTATTGGAAGGAGCAAATTGAGTTTTTTGGTTTTGATGTATCACTCAATTTAGCATCTTAATGAAAGTGGATACCCCATGGTGAAAAATGCTGTGGGTTTCTGGTGATTTACACAGTGCAAAATTATTCTAAAGGACTTTCTACTCCACAGTGGCTCTGGCAACTTAAGACTCATTTTCACAGAGTGGGTCACAGAAAGTGTTGCTGTATAGGGTAGGGGTAGAAAAAGTAAACGTTTAAAGTACACTTGTATGGTAAATGATTTTAATCATTAACCCTAACCCCCTAGGCTCCTTCACTAGAAAGCATACTGAACCTCACAAAATCCAACATTTTCATGTACTTGTCTATGTACTTGTACATGTACATGCAGGTTACTGCACTAAACCTGATAAACTCCAACAGAATGAGCCCATTGGAGTTTGAGTGATATTGTCTGGATGGGTCTGTGCAGGATAGGATGACTTGCACTGAACAGTACCAAGCCTGACAGAATCAAGCATAGTCCAACAATTGGTACAGCAAGCCAGACACTGCACACAGTGACCCGTGTGTGACCAAACTCACACAGAAACTGGCACCATCTCCCTGGGCCTTTCATCCCAAGTCTCACAAAATTCAACAAGTTCCTCAGGTACAGTACCAAACCTGCCAAAACCTCATAAAACCTGCTGTTGGAGTATGGCAGGTTTTTGGCAGTTACATATGGGGTTAAGAAAGCAGGTTGCGTAGCTTGAACGTACATGTACATTCAGTCATTGTAGAATTTTTACTACTCACATACATGTACATATGTATGTGAATATGTACCGGTTCACGTAGAGTCGGCTGTACCCAGCTTGAGGAATTTGTGAAGATTGTGCTTTTGAGCACGCAGACATTTTTCATTGCATACATGTACGTGCTTGCTCGCATGTACATGTGCCAGTACACAGTGCCATTTACTTTAGTAACACGTCAAATGCATTTAAGTAAAAAATCAGATCAAACCAACTTTAACCCTAACACTCCTCAGTCCTCCATCAGGTGAAGTATTGAGGAGGGTTAGGGTTAAAGGGTAGCTGCAGTGCAATTTTTTTAATGCAAACCTAAAACCATGCACCTTCACATATCAGATAACCTCATTTTCAGTGTCTCTTTCACTGTTTTAAGGGGTATTTTGCTGCCTTTTTGGTTTTTATGCTGATGAGTATTTCCATATTCATGAGCAAAACTGTGATGTCATCCCAGGGAGAAAATCTCAATGTTGCATTGGTTTGTGCACAATAAACGTCTGAAGTTCTCCTGGCCTCAACTTTTAGTTGTTTGTTTAGTAATTTCCTAGCAATAAGCATGCATGCAATCCTCTCTCAGAAATGTTTCCATTGAGTTAATTTTGGGTTCACATTTTGAACAAAAACTCAATGCATAGAAGCATGTCTTCCCTGGATGACATCACAGCAACAACGTCCTCAGTTGTCAAGGAAAGCATGGGCAATTTTTAACATTTTAAAAATTGCACTTTACAAATGCATTGATTAAACCAAAAAGAGATGTCAAATAATTTCCAGACACTGAAGAAAAGTATAGAGTTGCAGAAAAATGGGATCTCAGATACATGTACATGTAAATTCATTGTAGGTACTGGTACACTTTAAATACTACAAAATATGTAAAATAATTGTGAGTCTCCATGCAGAATCTGTAGTTTCAATTCAATCAATTCAATTCAATAAACATTTAGTTATAACTTCCCAATCTAAGAGGTACATGTATAAACACAACCATAAACAAAGCTACACTGTATATCAAGAGAAAATATATGCACCAAAGAATAATACTTGAAAGCCAAACAGATAAAGCAAAATAAATTTTTACTAATTAAATATGCAGTAAGAGTTACAAGGCCATTGACGTAAGCCAAAGGCTTGTAACTGGAACAGCCTGGACTCACTAGACAAACTACAGATACAGTACACTAACAAATAGTGGAGGAAAGGCTATGCTACACACTGGGAAAAGAGGAGTCTTTTATAGGCTATTCAAATTGACCCACAGACAATATTGTCTTGATGTCCTCAGGAATGGAATTAAAAATTCAAATCGCAAAAAATTATAAAGCTGAAAGGTGTCATGGCCCAGTTTTGAATTTTCGAATGCCTGACTCTTTTGGGAGTTCACACCGTGCCCCTGCATAAATCCAGTAATGCTGTTCTCGCTGGCCACATTTCAGATTAATTTACATATGTACATTACAGGCTATCCATGTGCATTTCACACACAAGTCTATGCATACTTGTATACAGGTGTGCATTTAAGTACACTTGTGGACATGTCAGGCATAACACTCATACGGGTGGTTACGTGTACCTTATTTCAAATTGCAAATGATTCAGTATAAAAAGGACACATGCAGTGTGCTTGCTTCTACATGTGTACATGTTTAAAGCAGTAATATTTCTTCAAAGCTGGTTACTCAATATTATCAGATACCATTGCATGCACTGTAGTGATGCATTCTGTCATGTTTTGCATCAAGTTGTTTTCCAGAAACTTAATGCAAACATCTTTCATTCATTCTGTCTGCTCTCCTTGTTGATTCAAGGCACCTGAGACTTCAGTAGCTTGCAGTAGTTTTCGTTTATCTCTGACAATTAGAAATACGTACTGCCACAAGTGTTCATGTTTAAGCTAAAAGACGGCCCTCTTACTTTGGAAAATTATGATCTTGTAGTAGTTTCTTCACTTTTGCCAATTACACATTTTATCAATTTGTTACTTTTATCTAATTCACTGCATTTTTCCCCCTTTTTTAAAGTACAATTGTGGTGCAACACTAACTGTTTTATTCTGTTTTGCTATTCCCCTGCCTTTTCTCTTTCTCTTCCCCACCCCTTATCCAATTTAACTTGCATTATGTCAATTTGCTAACTTGGCTGAATTTACTGGTTTATCTGATCTGGTTTGTCACGTAATGCTTACCTCTTTTGGGCTTTTTCTGTCTTCTATTCTATGTTCTTGCCTGTTTGCATGCCACCTGTGCCTTAAATCTGCTGTCAAACTGGTTTACTTGTGGCTTTTCTAACTGGTTTAATGTGATCATTTTTTGCCATGTTCACTTGTACCATTAACGACTGTGTACTGACCCTCATTCCAAACCGGCTTGTGGCTTTGTTGTGGACATACCTGGTGGAACCATTGGAATTGATGGTTGTCAATGCCGATCTCTGACCACCTGAACGGACATTGAAATCACTCAAACCTGGCTGTACTGTCTTGGTTGTGGTACCTAATTTGGCACATTCTCTTCATTTTTGCCCGGCATTAAACATTGGTGCCCCCCCTCACTTCTCAAAACTGATGTATGCGAACACACTCAATGATTGGGTTTATTGCATCAATGCCAACTTTGGTCATGAATGCATGAATCATGTGTACTAAATCTCCAACTTCCACCCCCAAAAAATGTATTTCACAAACGATATCATCCATCTCTAATATGCACTCACTGACTCTTCACTCGTAAAAAAAACACAATTCATTGCGGCCCCTCTACAAAGTAGCCGGTTACCCCAGTCCCCCTCTGGTAGGATCAACTACCTGCCGAACAAAGCCGCAACCTTACCCCTCAACAGCAAGAGTAGTTACCCAACTTCCCCCCGTCATAGCAGGTCGACCAGCGGGCTGAGCTCCACCTCCAACCTGGGCGATATCATGGGACTGGCCAACGCCCGCAATGCCAACTCCAGGGGATCAACTCCTCCCACACCGGGTAAGTAGAAATCGCTCACATCGGGGGACAAAGTTGTCCATCTTTTAACCCTTATATTTAAACACCCCAGTCAGTCCTGCCAAGAACCTTCCTGAATCCTTTAAAATCCTCCACTGTGCAGAAAATCTAGAGCCCTTTTTTTTACTTGAGCTTTCAAAGGTTATCGAGCTCCATGTACATTGTACAGTAATAGTTGCTAGGCTCTGCCTCCTCCAATCCTTCCAAACCTGGTTGATTCTGATGTATTCAAGAGAATGTGGTATCATGAATGAAGCTAGCAACCAAAACACTGCACTTTTCATCGTGATGTGATGCCACAATGAATAACTGAAAATGGTAAAGCAATCAAGTGATAGGAAGATGACTAGTCAATGAACGTGTCAAATAAGAAAACTTTGCATTCTTTTGATTGTGCAAAATCGTTTTGTTGACCCGTGATGCAGACTTAGTAGCCCTTTGAATCTCACTGCAAGATACATGTAATTTTTTTCTAGTATTTTGAGGAACCAGACATACACCCATGTACACATGCTGAATGCTATGGCTTGAAGTTGAACGAAGATAGTGTGTACATATATCTTTAGTCTACTCAGATCATGTACATGCACATGTATGGATATATGGCTCAATGAAGGTCACCTCATGGGTTAGTGTACTGCCAGCTTTTTGCGCACTACATGTATTCTGCTCCCACCTATGGATTCATAGGGAATAAATACATTGCATTGAAAGTGTATGAATACAAATGATAATAGATGACAGATGACACAAAATGTTGTGACATTTTGTAACGTTTATATATAATATACAATATTTGAAAGACTTCCTTTTGTCTGGACCATTGAAGAACTCCATTCTACCAGCACTGGTTTTGTTGAATGATTATTTTTATTTAGGATTTATTTCTCATGAGCAAGTTTGAATAGATGCTCATGTAGTTGCTGCCTAAAGTGAAACAGTCAAAATCAACTGTATTTATGTGCATTTCAGACCTCAGTCCACCAGAATGCCTTTGATACAACATCAGTACGACGACAAAATACACTCCGGGTCCTCAGCAGTCCCCACCTCCCCTCCCTTCCCCTCCCCCCCCCCACACACATACATGTACACCATGGTCCTTGCCAACCCTCTAAACCAAAGAAAGCAGAACCGACTCAAGTCAATCAGAAAGTCGCCAGAGGCAGCTGCAGTAATGCATGTCTGAATACCAAGTGATAAAACTTGCAGGGAAACGGTGCGCCAGCGTGAGCTTTATGCATTCAGCTAACAGTACGTTGTGCAGAGAGGTATTCATGAAGATGGATGCCCTTTTCTATCCCTCTCTCTCTCTCTCTCTCTCTCTCTCTCTGTGTCTCTCCGTCTTCCTTCCCTTCCTCCCTTAACACTCGGCGGGCTGCTTCCGGCTCGGCGGGTGTCTCTCAAGTGCATTCTTGCGAGTGCTTGTTTTTGCCCAGCCTCGTTTTTAAGGCAAAGATAAGGCAGCCAGTGAAACAAAAGCATAATCATCTCCAACAGATCCTGAATCAACCAGTAGTCAAAGATTTCTTACTGTTTGAAAGCAGTGATAATCCATTCTTAAACACTGACAAGAGGGATGAAGCCTTTTTTTTACAAACTGGTTTGTGACAGCATGCATGGACATGGAATACATGTAGCTGCTGTTGGGTGGTCAACATTCTCTCCAATATTTTTTTTACATAGTGTGTGAATAAGCTGAACCTCCCCTTCCAGTGTGCATTATGCATGAACCCAAGTGATCCCTCTCTGTGGAATTAATGCAAGTGCGGTGTGCTTCTGCTGCACACACAGCAGACCAAATTGCCCGTCCCTCCGTGAACCAGTCGGACGTGATTTATTTGGTGCTAATTAGCATGCAATCATTCTCCACCGTGGCTATGACGCTTTTCCGTGAATTCCTTTCCACACAGCTTTACAGCTCTTAATCAGGTTGTGAGTTGCTTTAATTGCTTCCTTGGCTGATACGGTTCCCTCTTTATTGTGGGGTTGTTGTTCATGATGTGAATTGAGAGGTCAGTCTAGATTACATGTACATGTATATCCATTTCCTCCTCGAGTCGTTTCCAAATTTTCCATCTGATTTGAGTTCCTTTGATGCATTGTCAAGTATTTTTAAAAAGTATTAGGAGCAAAAGGATCATAGTCAGTATCACACAGGAGTGTAAATGGGACAAGCCATCCAAGTTTGCTTGCATAGTGCTAAGTAAAGAGGTCTTATAATGAAATCCCCGACATTCTATTGACATGCTTCACACGTGAGTTGCAGTTGATTATAATTCACATGCCACTTCCATTCCATGCTCAAAGTGTTCAGTGTGTTGCACGAAATGTTAGTTATTTGACACTATTTGCTCTAATGTGAACTTCAAGCTGTCACTGGTGTTGAAAAAATCATTCTGATGTTTCAGTTTTACAGAACAGTGCTGTAGGTTGCCACTAGGCATCTTTTTTCATATTATTGGCTTGGCAGCTAATGTCAACACAGTTTGGACATCCTGAGATGGCCTTTCAAGCGACGTGTCAAAAAAGTGGACGGATAGAGTTGCGATCTCTACTTCCGTTCCCTCAAAAAGAAGAAATGCGCCGGCTGTAATTAATAGAATGCGGCTCCGGCACCTCAGTCCTGTCTTGGGCCCTTGTCGCTCAACGCCATTTGATCTGAGCTCACAGGCTTGGCTTTCGATTCAACATGTCCACAGCTGCAGCTGCAGGGGTGTTTATTACGGTTTGCAAAGGCAGAGCAGAGCATGCAGGGCCGGGGCCTTCCTCGTGGTTGGTAATAATGGGATGCGGGAAGCTTCTAAACGAGCAAGCAACCGTGCGTCTATGGCACATATCCCAACTGACTTTTTTTGATTGGCTGGTTATGTCACGCCTACATCTTGATGACAGACTCGCAAACCTTAAATGCTTGGTAAACCCTTGGACAGGTGTTCTGCATGGGAGAATATTTTGAGGCCAAAATTCCTTGCCCTTCAAGTAGAGTGGTCACTTTAAACGAGAGATGTACATACATGTATATCTGGACGCCAATCCCCTGAAGCCAGTCAGTGATGGTCCAGTAGATGTGTGGGAGACGGGACACCCTTTCCATCTATGGAAAATTGATCGGTCTTCAAGAGATTGCAAAGCTTGCACTTATATTGTGGGCGCACACCCCAAAATAACCTGTCAGAACCAAGGCTTGAATTACCCTGACGATTCCATCCGTGTCCGTGGGTGTGAATTCTCCAGGCTGCCGACTGCCCCAGAAAGTGTTTTTCCCATTAATGTTTTGTCTTGGATGAAAAATTGCTCACATTTACATCAGAAAGAGATACAGTATACAGCTACTTTAGCCCGTTTGTGTCCAGTCAGGCATATTCAGTGCACATTAAATTGCATGAGTGGTATGATAAGTGGAGATCAGAAATCTTTGAGAATGCTTTGATCATACATGTATCCAAAAAGTATTTCCATGTACGGTACAGCATATGCTGTGCATGTTGGCCAACGGGGGCCATGAACTTAAGACCTACAACCTGCAGTGTGCAACCACATTATGTGCCTTGTGTAGCTGCATGGAGCTTTTCAACTGGAGCTTCCACTTTAGGAAACAGACTGATACGGTTATGCAAGAACGTGCCTCATTTCAACTATGCTGAAGTTGGCCTTACTCTGAACACATTCAGAAGGAAGAAGTATAAAGATTGGGGAGTTTGGATTCTCCAAATCAGGCTTTGGTCTTCCATTGACAAGCTTTGTTGAGGAATCCTGTTTGGGGCAAAAAGTCCAACTTTTTGGTTAATTAATGGATAAGGATCTCCACAGTGTCTCTTTAATGTATGAATCATGTCTACTAAAAAAATCTGAAACATGAGGATCGCTGCTTTAGGGTATTATATTTTATGCTGTTTTCCACAGAAAGTCTGGTATGTCAATAAGCATTCTGTGCAATGTCATGTTGTTGTAAAGTTAATAAGAATAGAAACTGAATTGGAAAGCATTTTTAGCCAAAATGGTTGGACTTCCCAAGAACCATTTCAGAGAAGACCTCCCCCCCGCTGCCTTCCCCCAACGTTTTTTTTGATACGCATCTCTCTAGTGTGCATGTCAGCCATGCTGGCCCCTCCTCGAGTGGAAACACAGTGGAAGGTAAAATGAAAAGTGGACACTTGTCCTGACGTACGTGCATATATGTATAAGTTCGTGTGCACATGTTCAGTAATTGCACTCAACCTATGACATTTTCTCAAGGAGTTAATTGTGTCTGCCTTTTTAGATGGACAATTTCAACACGCGCATCTTGCTACTGTGCTTTTCCACTTTTTCTAAATTTTTTTGTATACACAGCGGTAGTGTCAACAGTTTGGCAAGTGCTTCTTCTGCCGTCCAGAATTTACAGACTTAGTAGGAAATGGGAAGACTAAAACAGTTTGATAGCAAAGAAAATGGAGAAATAAATAGCAGTATTGCATATTTCAGTTGGTAAAGTGTTCTTTGATCGAAACAAGAAAAAGATATGAAGTACATGTTCTCCTAATGGTATTCATGATGTGAAGCTATTGTTTTGGTTTGATACAAATCAGAATAATGAAACAACATACAGCACCATCACAGAATTTGGCATTTATGTTTATGCGTATTGACAGTTAAAAGTACAGGTACACAGATGTACACGTTTTCCATGAACACGTTCATGTACATACAATATATGGGTACGTGCAATACAAACACAGCCACAGCAGAACTGTCATACACTGATTGACCTGCTCCAAGTGCATACGTGTATGCCATATGTATAAACTCCTCCAATGTGTAATTGCCTCTTAGGGGTGTTGTTACAAGAAACAAACATATTTTTCGACCAGGCCTGTGCTCTCTCTTTCTTTGCTCTAAGCATGGCATTACATGCTGGATACCAGTCCCTTAGTATTGATTTTGTATGTTCTCATGCAGCCAAAAACATGGTGCATACCATTATATCCTCAAATGCTAAT